TTTATACGGGTTCAAATGGGCTATTTTTTGGCCGAGCCTAATGGCTCGGGAATTCCCACGTTAAAAAGGCCTTGTGCCACATGACACCCTCGTGGGGGGGTGACTGAATATCGTCAGTAGTTCAAGTTTTGAACCGACTGCACGGTTAAACTCTCTTCCTACGGGCGGGAGGAACCCGAAGGAGGCTACGCCGAAGGGCGGAGTCTCCTTCGGGGAGGTAAAACCGGCCCAGAACCCGTTTATACGGGTTCAAATGGGCTGTTACGGCCGAGCCTAATGGCTCGGGAATTCCCACGTTAAAAAAGGCCTTGTGCCCATGACACCCTCGTGGGGGTGACTGAATATCGTCAGTAGTTCAAGTTTTGAACCGACTGCACGGTTAAACTCTCTTCCTACGGGCGGGAGGAACCCAAAGGAGGCTACGCCGAAGGGCGGAGTCTCCTTCCTCGGCCCAGAACCCGTTTATACGGGTTCAAATGGGCTATTACGGCCGAGCCTAATGGCTCGGGAATGCCCCACGTTAAAAAGGCCTTGTGCCCATGACACCCACGTGGGGCGGTGACTGAATATTGTCAGTAGTTCAAGTTAGTCAGTCGTTCACCTCTGAACTGACTGTTCGGTTCAACTCTCTTCCTACGGGCGAGAGGAACCCGAAGGAGGCTACGCCGAAGGGCGGAGTCTCCTTCAGGGGAGGTCGCTCGGCCCAGAACCCGTTTATGCGGGTTCAAATGGGCTATTTTTGGCCGGGCCTAATGGCTCGGGAATGCCCACGTTAAAAAGGCCTTGTGCGACATGACAACCTCGTGGGGGTGACTGAATATTGTCAGTAGTTCAAGTTTTGAACCGACTGCACGGTTAAACTCTCTTCCTACGGGCGAGAGGAACCCGAAGGAGGCTACGCCGAAGGGCGGAGTCTCCTTCGGGGAGGTAAAACCGGCCCTGAACCCGTTCATACAGGTTCAAATGGGCTATTTTTTGGCCGAGCCTAATGGCTCGGGAATGCCCACGTTAAAAAGGCCTTGTGCCACATGACACCCTCGTGGGGGGGTGACTGAATATTGTCAGTAGTTCGAGTCGAGTCAAGAGTCGAGTCAGAGGCAGTCCGAAACAGAGTCGCGTTCAGACAATTACCGCAAGACATTGGAATAATGATACTGGTCGAGACAACATTGTTCTCTCTACTAAAACTGATTGTTCACACTAACACTTCTACTTCTCTGTATATATTCCTGTTTGTAATATATCTGTGTTATTCCAGTTCTTCTTTATTGGTTCTACTTTGGACTATCACCGTGGTACAAAGAACCGGACCATAACAATATATATATATATATATATATATATATATATATATATATATATATATATACGAATAATATATTAGTACAAAGATTTGTCTTATACAAGATTTTGTCACACTAAGTCAATGGCTTACTGGATGTGAAAGAAAATTAAAAGAATTTACTGCAGAGAAAGGAAAAATAAAAGGAGCGTACAGGAAAACAAATGATCGTGATTGGTGATGCATTTAAATGTTAAAGGTTTCAAGTAGCAGAGAAAAAAGAAATCGGCAAAAAAATTCCAGAGGGGAGGAGTGCAAGATATGAAACCATGACAATACAACTGACTGCTATATCTAGCGAGTTTAACATTAAATCGATGTGATCGATTTGCCAAAATAGTAGTTAGCTTAAATATATACGGCCGAGATATTAAGGAGTGTAGATCATTAGAACAACTGCCATGGAAATATTTAGAGAAAAGTCAGGAAGAAATCATATCAAGTGACTAAAGTAAACACAAAATGGCATAACGATACAGATGCGTTATTCGATGTTATCAAAAATGCAATGATATTTAGCCTGATAACCCGACCAGATAATAGACTAATATTCAATGTACAGACAAATAGTACATTTACGAAAGTAAAAGCCGAATTCTGACAAGAACAATTGTCTTGCACGACAGAGTAAACCAATGTTTACTTAGCAGACTTAGTAACTTTATTCAACATAATCCCTCTACTTGATATCAATCGACAAAGCCAGACCAAGAGTTTTGATGAGTTGCTACCCGGGAAGTTAGTATCAGCTATGGTGATGAAGAGAAACATCAATAATTCGATTAAAATATAGCAATTTTCATTTTGCTATCTATAAATATAACAGACAACGAATGTCTATTATGTTTTATCATGAGGCGTTCTAAGCGTCGTTTAATTGCTTTAGTTTCAAGAAAAATTAAAGACAAAAATGTCCATCATTTGGATTTTACTTATTTATTATATTGGTCGTCGATCTTTAGGTTTACATGAGACATCATCAGTGGTGGATATATGGACATTAAAACAAAATATGATATCAACTTTGAGGATGAACATTTCGTCTGTAATGTCAATATAAACATTCTGATGATAGTTTATGTGAGCCAAAAGCTTAGATCGACGACAAATATAATAAATAAATATCCAAATGTTGGACAGTATTTGCATTTATTTTCACTTGAAACTTAAGCCATTACGAACGCTTGGAACGGTTCATTCTAAAACATAACAGACATTCGTTGTCTGTCTGTTGCATATATATATATATATATATATATATATATATATATATATATATATATATATAATAAAAATGCTTAAACATTAATATTCCATGGTCATAATTGATTCCATTGAAATCGTAAATACGATCCAATTCATCAGACCTACAAATTCGAAAAGAAAACAGAAAAACCAACTCCGGAAATAAAAACAGAATTTAGAGAGAGTGTAAGTATGAGGAGGAGGGAGATTAAACCTTAACAGAGAGAATATCAGGGAAGGTGGGTGGAAGGGGTTTACGTAAGAGAAAAATGAATGTAGTCGGATGTCTAATTTTGCATATGTATGTATATTTACCACTAATATATATATATATATATATATATATATATATATATATATATATATATATATATATTGGAGTAGTAGCGGCGGAGATTGAGGAATCGGATTGATTCCATTACATTCACTTATGTACTAATCCCCTTGGGAAAGATAGTAATCCTCCTCTTCTGTGGGTAAGAGAAGGACAACTCTGAATACAAAAATCATGTGCAGGAATCGGTACTTAGGAACTGAGATGCTTACCCTCATATGACGAATACGACGGGAGAGTCCGCATATATATATATATATATATATATATATATATATATATATATATATATATATATATATATATATAGAGAGAGAGAGAGAGAGAGAGATACATATATTCTGTGAGTATTGAGCATAAAAAGAATGAATAAATTATATAAGCGGTGTTAATTCACGCATTCGCTTTGACATCCACTAATGTCAGCCAAGGAAATTTATCCGGGCATAATATACGCATGCGCATTGACGGATTCTCTAGCATCAAGCCTGGGTTTTCTTTACATTTATATTAGAGATTTGAGATTTTATTCTTGCTTTCCTTTCCTACCCATAATTCCTTGTTAATGGTTCATACATCCATTTATTTAATAGGTTGCAGCATCCACTGGCTTGTGATTCTTATAGAAATTACTCGTCAACGAAATATTTGCTGGTTTTTCATTGATTATGATTTTCTTTTTCTTTTATGCTCGACATTTTTATTTTTCTGCTCTAACAAGCAAATCAAACATTGTGTATTGCGTATATCTTAATGCTGATGCACAGAATTAATATAAAAAAAAGCCCCAAGGATATCTTAATGTACACAAAATCATGCGAATTGAATTAGACACCAACAATTGATAGGACAATCAAGCCAGGCTATATCCTCAACCAAAAATGTAACCGCTATAGCAGAACACACAAACGAATCCACTGGTGTTAAAAATACACACACACAAAAGTGACACAAACATATATTTCAAAACGCGTATCTGTCTCTCTTTCTCGCTCTCACCATATATATATACACACACACACACACACACACACACATATATATATATATATATATATATATATATATATATAAGTATACGGCTAAAATTAAAAGAAAGTAAAGTATAAACAAATCAAAAATAAATACTCAAATATGAATCTTCAAAAAACTTATAAACTGCAGGCACAAGTACAGACACAGGAATTGTGTCTCTTTTCTTTCAATATATATATATATATATATATATATATATATATATATATATATATATATCATAAAATTATATAGATAAACATATACATATATATATACAATTATATATATATATATATATATATATATATATATATATATCGAACATAGATATGCATATATAAATAAACTTAGATCGATATATATATATATATATATATATATATATATATATATATATATATATATATATATATTACAGCGTATTTTTACCTGGCCACCACGTAACACGAACTGATATTAAACTACATACAATCCTGACCATAAATAAACTTCAAGCCTACACCGATTCACCCAGGATAAGATACCTTACACGGCCACCCATCACTAACAGAAATCCACTCCCAGTATTAAGGCATCTACCAGAAGAGGACTGACATTGAAAATAAATTTAAAACAATGTTCCGAGACAGACACTTAAACACTGATGCTAGCCGTATAGAGAACTCCTTGAAATAGACTATACCTATGTTGGGGTAATTTTGGTTTTTTTTTATATATATATATATATATATATATATATATTACAGTTTATCAATTTTGGCAGTTTATTTAATGCCAGATTTTTTTTTAGAATTTAAAATCTTTTGGAAATTACAATGATTTACTAATACAAGTTCTACTAATTAACCAATTTCTGGGGGAGGAGATGTAGATTTATGCCATTCCCAAGGGTATTTCCGCTAAAGTGAATATCACGAACACGACTGGAATTATAATTTAGTTCTGCTGTTTCCAGTTTCGTGCTGTTATCTATAATAGTTGAAGCCCACTTAGGCATACAACATATGGTATTCCCAAATTGTCACCCATTTAGCTACTTTGAATTGGTGTTTTAGCGTGATATTACAGTAAGCAGATAGATAGATAGATAGATAGATAGATAGATAGATAGAAACGGGCTGAGAGAGACAGATAGGTAAATAGATAGTTATAAAGATAGAGCGAGAAAGAAACAGGTCGTGATAGATAGATAGATAGATAGATAGATAGATAGATAGATAGATAGATAGATAGGTATGGGTTGAGATAGAAGGAAGTCTTATGTTGAGATGGTTAGATAGAAAGAAAGAAGCATAGGTTGAGAGAGAGAAAGTGAGAGAGTGAGAAACAGGTTGTGATAGATAGATAGATAGATAGATAGATAGATAGATAGATAAATAGATGAACAGAATGAACAGAATTAGATAGATAGATAGAAAGGAAGAAACAGGCTGAGAGAGAGTGAGGGAGAGATAGAAAGAAACACGTTTCGTTAGATAGATAGATAGATAGATAGATAGATAGATAGATATATAGAGAGAGAACAGGTTGAGACAGATAGAAAGTCACATACAAGGAGAAACAAGTATAGAAAGAAAGAAAGAAACAAACAGATAAGAAAAAAATGAAGGTTTTCCATAGTCTTTATAATTATTGACTCCGGTAAGTCACAGACTTACTAACAACTCTCTGATAAATGAGATAATGAAAATATAGTATAACTGTATAGTATAATTATAAGTAAAAGTTGTCAATATCAAAGATGGAGCGTATATAACTATAAAAGTGGACAATGTATTTCATGCTTCAACTGTATCTTCCATTTTGTTTTATGGTTCGACTATTTATATATGCTGGTCAATGGTGTATTATGGGTTGTAAGGTTTATCGTATTATCTTGACGGTTATTGGGTCGGTGGTAACTGTTATATTTTAAATTATTCTAAAGGGTCGTGAGTAGGAATGATTGTAGATTCGAATGCGGTTATTTGTAGCTATTTATCGTGTTGTTTGTTAAGTTCTAACTCATTATTTATAATTGGAAATAAGCATATATATATATATATATATATATATATATAGATAGATAGATAGATAGATAGATGTGAAAATATATAGAACATAGGAAGGGATTGGTTAGGTAAATAATCCAAAGTTCCTTAGTATTTTAGTTATTATTTTTTAAAAAATAGTGCTCGATACAAAAGTAGAGCATAAATATAATTATTTATTTAAAAATATGATCCCAACTCGCGACATAAGAGGTCTCATGTTAGATTCCAAAAAAAATTTCGCTTGAAGATGGAACAGAGCTTACTTTAACTCAATTTAATTCAAATAATTATATTGAAGGTTTCGGCTCTTGTTTTGGAACATGAGACCTCTTATGTCGAGAGTTGGAAACATATTTTTAAATAAATAATTATATATATATATATATATATATATATATATATATATTGTGGTGGTAAAGCAACGACTCAACTGATAGTAGCAGATAGGAAAACGAGAGGAGGGTAACCGACAAAACAACGTCCAACCTTCTCACGAGCAAAAACCCAGTGATCAGAAACAAAAACGCTCCTGCTTTATACAGCCGAGGACCCACCATGATTTGCATGCGAATGACGAGACAACGAGATTTCGCATGAACTGTCAGAGACCGCCTGGCATAAAACATGGGCGCCGCCATTTTGGTTTAGTTCCGTTGAGCAACCGGAGTTTGCACGACGCAGAGAATCGCCAGCGTTTCCGAGGTAGGCCTTTTTCACAATTTTCCCCATATATATATATATATATATATATATATATATATATATATATATATATAGTGAACATAGAAGTCAAAACAGTCTGTTTCATGCTAGATGCAATCGTCAGGCTACGAGTGCTGTTATTTTTCTCAGCTATTTATATATACGGGTCAGTGGTCTATTTCGGCAGTTATTTTACTGGAAGTCCTTTATTTGTTTATTTATTATATTAGTTAGATTATAAAATCAAACCAAAAATCGGACGAAAAAATAGCTATAAATGTTATATAACGATAAAAGAAAAAAATACTACGTTACTAAAAAATCGAAAACCGAAAAGAGAAAAAATACAGTATAACAAATAAATAATAAGTAAAATAAATTGACCTAAATTCATCCAAACCAATCCCGATAAACTAACCGCCAGAAAAAAAAACAAATAAAGATAATCAATCCAAATAAATACATGAAGTAATAAACAAATTAAAAACTGTTCCCGACAAAATAATAGTTACAATAAACTACAACAATCAACCCCAAAATTGAATAAATAGCTTTAATTATCTTCCCAAAACAAAACAAAACTATTAAATAAGCGATATAAACACATTTTTACTACGTTAATAAAAACACCGATTAAAATAAATAAATAAGATAGGACATAAAAATAAAAAAAAATAAAAATAAATAAAAACAAGCAAACTAATTTAACCCAGATAAATAAATAAACAAATAAACGATTTCCGGTAAAATAACCGCCAAAATAGATTACCCACAACGCACCACTGACCCGTAGGTATAAATAGCCGAGAAAAAAACAGCACTTGTGGCCTGACGATTGCATCTAGCATGAAACAGCCTGTCGCCTCTGTGTTGACTTCTATGTTCACTTTTATATTTACACACGCTCTATCTCTGATATTGAGCACTTTATCCCATAAATATAGCACATCTTAAGACTATATTTCTTCATATATATATATATATATATGTCAAACATAAAGAAAAATAAGTAGAACAGCATCAGCCTAAAAATCAAAAATTGTAAACTCTGCCCGGAGCAGGAAACAGATGTAATTACGTTCCCAAACTAACACTAAATAACGGATCACAATTCATCTCAAAATACCGACACGAAAACATTTTTTACGAAATTATTTAAAATTAAAAGAAAACTAAAAATTAGGAAGAATAAACATAAAACTAATTAATGAATATAAGTTAACAATAAAATAAATGAGATCCAAACCAATAATTAAGTAAATAATTTTAGTAAATATGAAATTAATTAACAAATGATGACCGCACATAATAAACATAATAATAACAATCAACAAGAAAATAACCAATAATAAAGTTGACAAACAGTATCCTGCTCCACAATTATTTCCACCCATTATCCCCCAGAGTAATTCGAAACGTAACACTTACTGGCCACAAAATAGCCGTTAGAATATTACAATAGACAGTCCCCTCTGCATCACTGATATGTATATCCAAATAATCGAGGAAAAAACAACTCATTTGGCCTGACGATTGCATCTAAGCATGAAACTGTCTGTCGTTTCTGGATGTTGACTTCAACCTCCACTTATATTTACATACGCCCTGAGCATCATATTAAGCCCTTAAAACCATAAATATAAAATAACTTAAAACTATATTTTATCATATATATATATATATATATATATATATATATATATATATATATATATTGTTATTAGACCCCTGTTTAATTTGCTTGAGGTATTATGGCAGGTAATATATTCGTCACACCAACATTTTCAATTTTTTATATATATATATATATATATATATATATATATATATATATATATGTGTGTGTGTGTGTGTGTGTGTGTGTGTGTGTGTGTGTGTCCTTACATTCCGTACGAAAAATTATTTTAATTTCATGGGTGACAATTGCTGGATTTCGAAATTAATGTCGATTATTCCAACATTTCTTGCCAATTTATCAAAACGGTTATCGTATAAAAAATTTGTCGAAAAAAAATTCGCGTAAAAATGTCGCCGAAAAAAAGTTCCATTAAAGAAACATTAAGAATCCAAAATTTCAGGATTGCGGCTCCGGACCTGATCCGGATTTTTCTTTTGCTCCAAATGGTATGAAATGTCGGGTTACGGCCTCTCGGAGTAAAGTTGGATACATGGACAATTTTATTTTTAAACACTAATTTGAAGACAGTGATTTTTTGATTTTTTTGATTTGAACATGTGGTATTGTAAATCACAAAGTTGTGTCCCTTTAATCGTTTTTATGCGTAGAAGTTAAAATGGCGGAATCCGAAAACAATCGTAGTAATGAAACCTTGGGAATCCAAAATTTCATGATACGGGTTCGTTTCCTTCCCGTAATGTTTTTCATTTGGGCCCTGAGTCGGCCTGATTACAAAATGGAATGATAGATATTTTGGGGTATTGTTTCTAGAAGTTGGGTTGAAAAAGTGTGACATAATTACACTCTGACAATCGCATTTATCATACATACATACATACACACACACATACGCACAAACACACACACACACACACACACACACACACATATATATATATATATATATATATATATATATATATATATTTTGGATGGATGTGAGTTTGTAACCCTAGGTATCACGCTTTAGCGATCGTCAGACAATCGCTTTAGCGATCGTCAGACAATCGCTAAAGCGTGAAACCCAGGGTCACAAACTCACATCTATCCAACAAATATGTTAGCTCTATCTCTGATATTGAGCCCTTTCTAATAAGTACCGCGCATATAATATATAAATAAATTATATATATATATATATATATATATATATATATATATACTTTTCACACACACACACACACACACACACACATATATATATATATATATATATATATATATATATATATATATATATATATATATATATATAAATAATAGGAACAGGTCAGAAAAATATTCGAGTAATATGTACAAAGACCACAACATTTAATCAAATCGTTTGCAGACATAATTTGTGACTAGTATTCTTTTGGAAGATTGCCAGGACTGCTGCGTAATGGACTGTGGAAATTATATGTTAGATGAAGAATAAAGTAAAATAAAGTCGTTTGGAATTATGAACTCAAACACATATGAGAAGCGCGTAAAAGGATAAAATATAATCAGAATTTATATTCAATATTCGCATAGAAATATTTTTCTGGCATGGACTTCATTTGCACAAACGCATAGTTTTATTTTCCCTCTCTCTCTCTCTCTTATCCCTATGGATCATTATTCATATTCTTCATTCTTTCTAGCTTTCTCTATGTCTCACTCACTATATATATATATATATATATATATATATATATAATCGTAATTTGGTAATATTTGGTAATATTTGGTAATCCTTATAAACTTACTAATTTAAACATATGGTTCCTTCGCTACACAGGAATTACCATGTTTCAAATACAGAATCTAAAAACTTCTAATTCAATTATAGAATTAAATTAAAGTCCCTAGTCCTGTTTCATTTTCAAGCGAATTCTGGAACTAGAAATGAAAAAGAACTAGGGACTTTAATTTAATTCTATAATTGAATTTGAAGTTTTAGTTTCTGTTTTTGAAACATGGCAATTCTTGTGTAGTGATGGAACCATATTTTTAAATTAGTAAATTTATAATATTTATGCTTTGTAGATTTCCATTGAGCACTGTTTTGTAAAAATAAAATTATTAATAAAACACCGGATTACTGTTTATTCTATTTATATATATATATATATATATATATATATATATATATATATATATAATAAAAAGGTATAACACTAATATTCCATGGTCATAATTTATTCCATTGGAATCATAAATACGATCCAATTCATCAGACGTACA